AGGGAGGGGTGCAGGAGGCAGCTGATCGAGGTTTCTCTCTCATAGAAGTTTCTAACTCTCTATCTCTCTCCCTTCCTCTCTGTAAAAAATCAATAAAATATATTTTTTTTAAAAAAGTCAATAAGACTTCGGACAGCTACTTTTGAAGAAAAATCCCATCAAAGGCAGACAAACAAGACCAGCAAACAAAACTCCATCCCAAAGATCTCTAGACCTGGATGCTTTTTAAATGGATTCTATCGTGTGGAATCTCAGAAAGAAGGTGGGAGAGGGTGGGTGGGTGGGAGGTCATCAACCAAAGACCTTGTATGCATATATTAGTATGCATAACACATGGACGCAGATAGTGGGGTGGTAAGGGCCTGGGGTGGGGGTGGGAGGGGGGATGGGGTTGGGCTGGAGGGGGTCAATGGGAGGAAAAAGGGGACATATATAATACTTTCAACAATAAATGTTTAAATTAATTAATTAAAATGTACTCTAAAAAAAAAAGTCAATAAGGCTCAGTTGGTTGGAGCATCATTCCGATACTTGAAGGCTGAGGGTTCAATCCCTGGTCAGGGCACAAATAGGAAATAGGAGTCAACCAATGAATGCAAAAATAAGTGAGACAATAAATCAATGCTGATCTCTCTCTCTCTCCAAAATCAATCAATAAATAAAAATTTAGATCCATAAGAATACAACTCAACTAAAAAATGGACAAAAAATTTGAAGACACTTGACCAAAAATATGAATAGCCAATGAAATCATGAAAAAATGTCCAACATCATTAGTTCTTAGGGACATGCAAATTAAACCCAAAATAAGATACCATAACACGCTTAGAATTGCTAAAATTAAAGACTGGCCACATCAGTGCTTGTGTGGGTGGGGAGCAGCTGAAACTCTCATGTATTGCTGATAGGAATGCAAAATGGTGCAGCTTCCCTACCACAGAGGATCCAGTTACTTCACTCCGAATTATATACCCACGAGGATGGAAGTATATGTCTCACAAAGATACATAATCAACCAGCTGGCGTGGCTCAGTGGCTGAGCGTTGACCTATGAACCAAGAAGTCACGGTTCACCCCATCAGACCGACCCTGTTGATCTAACTAAACTATTTGCCAGTTTTTGTCTGATGCATTGGAAAAAAAAAAAAAAAAAGAAGTCACGGTTCAATTCCCCATCAGGGCACATGCCCAAGTTTCAGCTTGATCCCCAGTGGGGAGCGTGCAGGAGGCAGCCAATCCATGATTCTCTCTCATCATTGATGTTTCCATCTCCCTCTCCTTCTCCCTTCCTCTCTGAAGTAAATAAAAATATATATTTTTTAAAAATATACATAACCAAATCTTCACAGCAACTTTATTTGTAATTATCAAAATGAAAACAACCAGTAAATGGATAAACAGACTGTGTCCATCCATACAATGGAACACTATGCTGTAGTGAAAGAGAACAAACTTCTGGTACTTGTAACAACTTAGATGAACTTCAAAAACATTTTAAGAGAAAGAAACCAGTCACAAGAAGCCACAGATTATATTATCCTGGTCTTGTAAATTTTCTAAAAAGGCAAAATTACAGAGAAAAAAAAACAGATCAGGGGTGCCTTGGGCCGAGGGTGGGAGCGGGTTTCACTGCAACGGGCTTGGACGGAACTCTGAGTCGTGATGAAAGCGTTATGAAAAACTGGATTGTGTTAATGGATGCATACTCATAATTATAAATTTATTTTTTATTGAATTTAGTGGGATAATATTGGTTAATAAAATTATATAGGTTTCAGGTGTACAATTCTGTAATACACCATCTGTATATTGTATTGTGTTCATCACCCCCAGTCAAGTCTCCTTCCATCACCATTTATTCCCCCTTATAAATTTATTGAAAGTCAATGAACTGCTCAGCTAAAATGAGTGAACAGTATCACATGCAATTAATTATACCTCACCCAGATGATCCCACCCCAGGGCCTAAGGCAGGGACCTGGGTCCACTGTCCCCTCTTATCTCTTCCTTACATGCCACCTAATGCCTGGTCACCACACCCTGCCCACGTTACCCGCTGAATGTCTTTCCAAACCCTCTGAATCTCTCTTGCTCCCTGCTGGAGGCCTCCAAAGCCCAACTCGTGCATCTGGGCCGTCAGGCTTTCTGGCCAGCACCACCCCAGGTCCCCACAAGGAGAAATGACACCACAGCGCACAAGTACTGACCAACTTCATCATTCATCACGTTGACTGAAATGATTTGCTCCCATAACCTCTCCAGTGAGCAAGAGCCCAACTTTTGTACGCGGTCAGCCAAGGGTGGCAGGCTGTCCGAGGGGGCTGGGCTGGGCTGGGCTGGGCCACAGTGGCCCTGTGCAATGTCAAGAGGAGGGGAGGTTGTGCTCCCTAAGGCCGGTGTTCTTCCCTCTGAAAACCCAGAACAACACCTGTAAACATCAAGTTTTACACCAATTCTAGGTCCAAGCAACCAGTCTCAGGACTTAGCCAAAAGGAAAGGGGACTTCCCTCTTACCAAAAGGGGTGAATTCTGGCCCCTTAGTCTGAAGGCAAGACCTAGCTTCAAGTCCTTTAGGAGGGGTGTGGGGACCCCATGGGTTGGGAAAGGATAGATCTTCCTTGTTTTCTTTAGACCTTCAGGAATCTCTCACCATCCTCAGGCTCCCCAAGACCTACTCTGGCCCCTCAAGACCCCTATGCCCGTCCCTGACCATCAAGACTCACTGGGACCCCCCCCAGGGCCCCACAGCCTCCCCAGCCAGGTTCTTCCAGGCCTCTTAGGCCTCTTGCAGGTCCTCAGGTTCACTTGAGCCCCTTATCCCAGCCCTCCACAGCCCTCACCCACCCCAGGTCCCCTCGGCATGCCCTCAGGGCCACCTTTACAACACTCGGGGTCCCTTAGCACCCCTAGAAAAGCTTGGGCCTCAGTCCCTGCAAGCCCCCTTCAGTCCCCTCGCAGCGTCCGGAAAACAGCACCGACAACCTCAGGACTGCCCCCCGCCCCTTCTCAGGCCCTCTCTGCCTCCCAAACCCCTTGGCGTTCCAAGTTCCCAGTCAGGAGCCCCGAGGTTTCCCTTCAGACCTCCAAGCCCCCCAATGCCCCCTCTGGCTCTCAGAGCCACATGGAGACGCTCGAGGTCCTGGGGCTCCCAGCCCTCCTTCAGGTGCCCCTCAGCAGCCCCTAAAGCCTGCGGTCCCCCGGAGAGACCCTCGGGCCGCCCACTACACTTCCAAGCCCCAGGACTCCCCACAGATCACCTGAGCCCGGGGGCAGCTGCAGGCCCACTGCGGGCCGGGTCTCACCTGCTCGGGCGCTCCGGGCCCGGGCCTGCACCGAAGCCAACGCCACCGCTGCCGCCGCCGCCGCCACCACCGGACTCCGCCATCTTACCGCCGCGCGTTCGAGTGACGGGGAGCCGCGCGCCTGTCCAGAAAACTGCGACTTGGGGATCGGGGGGCGGGGCATGCTCCGCAAGGCAGGACCTGAGCGATGAAGGGGGCCGGGCGTGTCGGAGAGGGCGTGGTCTCCCGAGAGGGGGCGTGGTCTCCAGGGTGGGCGGGGAGATGGGCGGGGCGGCGAGGGCATGAGGCTTGCGCTCCTGAGTAGAGGAGAGGCGGGGCCTGTGGCGAGGGGCGTGGTCTGGGGGCGAGGGGCAAGGCTCAGTCCACAGAGGGGCGGGGCCTGGTCTGGGATGGGTCGGAGCCTAAAAGACGGTTGCAGGGTGGGGGGGATAAAGGCGTGGCGATTGGCAAGGCGTGGCGTTCGGCGAGGGTGGGACCAGAGAGAAGCGGGTGGAGGGGGGCTGTGCGGACCGTGAGGTGCAGCAGGTCTGAGACAGGGTCTGCTACGGAAAGGGCAAGGGATGGAGCCTAATGGGAGGTGGGGCTTGGGAAATTGGACCCGAGCCCTGAGAACCACCCATCCCCTCGAGAGTCACCCCCTCTCCAAGACCTCCCTCTAACACCGAAACTCTCACCCTGTGCCCAGGTGTCGAACTTCCAGCCCATGTTTGAGCCAATAGGGCCTCCTCCGTAAAGCTCCCAGAGCTATTGAGGGCACCTCTACTCCCACCCCTTGGAAAGTCTAGAAACTCCGCCCTGGCAAGGTTCAGACACCCAGGATGTTCTCTCCAGCCTTGAGCCCATTTATTCTTTCACTCTCTGAGTCGGAAAACCATCTTTTGTGCAGCGAGCAAGACCCAGGGGTCCAGATGGGGCTTAGAGCCCTCCCTGCAGTCCGCGCTCAGAGAAGAGGGTGGACATGGACTGGAGACTCCAGAGGAGACAGCAAGGGGCCTCTTGAGTAGATAGAACCTACTGTAGGTAGAACCAGACCCAACTAATCCATATCCGGCAGAGGGTCAAGTATATAATAGGTGTTCAATCGATCGTTTGTGTAAAATGCTCAGGAACTGACACTTCAAGTTGACAGATACCAGGTGCGAAAGGGCCCTGCTGACCTCTCCAGCACACAATAAGTGCTCAATGTTGAGTGCGTGCATGAGCAACGTGCATTCCCAGCAATCTCTGCACACACACATACACACACACACACACACACACACACACACACGCTCTCCTGACTGTGGTCGGCAGCCACTCAAGCCTTTGTTCCAGATGAACCACATGCAGGCATCAAACCCTGCTCAGCTGAGACCTACAGCTCACACACCCGCCAAACATACGGCTGCAGTCAATGGCATCCATATGCACACACACTTCATAAACACCCAGATTCAACCCACATGTCAGACAGACAGCCCAAGATCACTGGGCCCCTGGCTGTGTGCACATGCAGGGCACGCTGCAGACGCACAGTGCTGTGGTCACACTAGGTACTCCAAGAGTGCACGTCACAGGACAGCCAGTACAAAGGACCTGAGGCAGGGGTGTACCTGGAGTGTTGCCTGGCAGGGAAAAGTGAAGGAGAGGGGTGCAGTAGGTCATGGAGAGCTCGTGGATCACTGTGGAGGCATTTTCCTACATAAAATGAGGAGAGGGGCTTGTCAGCAGAGGGGATGTAACCAACCTGACAGTAGGGGGCAACATCTTGAATAAGGGACAATACTTAGGAGTGTTCTAGGACAAATTATAGGACTTGTCCCAGGGTAATGGCAGAGAAGGGCTGGAAGGTGGTCCTAGTCAGGAGGTACTTTGCAGGTGGTGCCAATAGGAGATGCAACAGATGGGATGTGGGGTGAGGCAGAGGAGGCCAAGGTTCTTGGCCTAGCACGACTGCCTGCCACACCTGAGATGGGGCACAGGCAGGTAGGGAACCTGGAGGGACACCAAAGGTTACTGCACAGCCTCGTCCAATAATGATGACCTGTGATCTGGCAGACCCCACAAGCGGGGACACAGCAGACAGCGTCCTGAGGCCTAGCCACCATCTGGCCCGCAGCTGACATGGCTCGCTCAGAGGCAGGGGCCTTGCCATCTGCTCCCCTGCTCTGGATCAGCTGTGGGACTCACGGCCCCAGGTCAGAGCTCAGAAGCCTTCTAGTAACCCTGAGGTGTTACAGAGGAGGAAACTGAGGTTTGGAGGGTAGAGGATGCCTGTTTCCTACAACCTCATGCTGGGGCCTCCTCCACCTATCTGCCCTTCACCACTGCGTGGCCTTGGAGCGAGCTGTAAATGCTCCCAGTGCTTAGTTTTGCTTCTTTATAAACTAGACAGGTCGTCCTGGCTGGCGTTACTCAGTGACTCAGTGGTTAGAGCATAGGGTCACAGGTTCAATTCTAAGTCAAGGGCATATACCTGGGTTGCAGGTTCATATCCACCCCAGTCAGTCTGGGCTTGTGCAGGAGGCAACCAATCAATTGATGTTTCTCTCTCTCTCTCTCTCTCTCTCTCCCCCCTCCTTCCCTCACTCCCTTCCCTCTCTCTGGAAATCAATGGACAAAATACCCTCGGGTGAGGATTAACCAAAAAACAAAAAATAATAAATAAATAAATTAGACAGGTCAACATCTGATGAATACTCACTATTATCACCCTGAGTTCTGCATCCACTTCTTAGGAACCATGAGGTTTGGACAGGTTGCTCTAGCTATTTTTTTTAACTTTTTTTTTTAAATTATTGATTTAAGAGAGAGGGAGAGAGAGAAACATTAATGATGAGAGAGAATCATCAATCTGCTGCCTCCTGCATGACCCCTATTGAGGATTGAGCCCGAAACACAGGTATGAAATCGAACCCTGACATCCTGGTTCATGGGTCGACATTCATCCACTGAGCCACACCATCCAGGACAGTTTTCCCATATTTAAAATGACCCTGAAGGGCAGAGCACAGAGACTAGGATGAAATAAACAACATACTGTGC